AAAAAGCAGCTATACAATTATAGGACAAAATTTTACACATATGCTATTATAATTTGTGTTTTATTTTTTAATTGTACAGATTTAGATACCCATCAATTATGGTGATGAAAAAAATGACTGGCCATCTCCTCATTGGATGTGCCTTTAGAGAGAAATGCACGGATTACATAATGAAAGAGTTTCTATTTTCGATTTGAAGTATTTCCTTTTAAAGTAGTAATTTAAAGCTTTCTATATATTTTTTTTATCATGTCTGTGAGGCAATTCGCGGAGTTTAGGTTCATCATTGTGAAGCGCTCCTGTTCAAGCCCGAGACAGCAGCGTTTGTTTTCTTTATTTGATAAAAGCACAACGTTTTGTTGATATTGTGAGTGCACACAAAATAAAACTAGCCCCTTTACAGTTTAGAATGATGTATTACTCTTACCTTTATGAGCAAAAATGACTGCGTATTAAGTTGTTCCCACTGTAAGAAAAAAATGCAAGTGATCGCGCTGGCGCCTCCATGTGCTGCCGAGCGCTTAGCTTCAACTCTAGCTCAAACGATTGGATATGCGTCTAACAGCCACATTTATCTAGGTTAAACACTTAAACTAACATTGTGATAAGCTTGAACTGTTTTACATCTATAGATTTTATTTTAAGCAAGTCATGATGATTTCAGAAGGAAAATGTGTGAAAATGTATAGGGCCCCATTCCTATATTTTGCCTGGGGCCCCCAATTCACTAAATCCACCCCTGGAAGTATGATATTTATTATACATTTTTTAACAAAAGTTATTATAGGCTACTTATATTAAATACTGGGTAAAATAAGGGCAACTATTAAAATAGGGTCACTATTATAGAGGTTTACTAATGTTATACCGTTAACTCTGGATTAAATAATTACAGCAGCTTTTCATTAGGGTAAAAACAAAGGAGAATTTAATAGTTCTAATAAACTTTAACTGCATAAAAATTAAGAGTCTGCATTTTAATGGAATATTAATATTGTTAAATGCATTTGAAGTGTATTTCAAAAATATATATTATTATTTGTTTCCGTCCTTTATTTATGAATAAATAATATTTAATCCAATTGCTCTAACCCCAGCAAAACATTTATGGGGGGCCCTAATAATTCTCCTATTCTAGGGCCAGAAAGAAGACCTCATAATAATAAAACTATTTAAAGTAAACTCCTTAAGGGAGTTGTACTGTATATGCTCAAAAGTTGTTGCTGTTTCTGGAAACCTGTTTGCTTTGAGTTTATATCTGGTGTTAATGTATTTATTCTTTTATCTGTTGTAGCCTGGAATATTTAGTACGGATACTCATTGTATCTCCGTGTTGGAGATTTGATTTTTTTTAAAAACACAAATTTTGGTAGAAAACGTTGTGGCACCAAGATAGTTGAAGGGGGGCCCTTGGGTTTGCTATAGCCCCAGGGACCAATGTGTTCTTAATCCAGGCCTGCCTCTCAACCATTAGTTTGCCACAAGCCTGAGATGCTGGGGAGGTGTGCTGAAATAAAACCCCACCCTCTATTCAATATTCTGTTTCAGCTGGAAAAATGTCACAATAAAATAGGCAGTAATTTCCGGTTTCACGCGGACTTTAAAACAAACTCAAGCACGCATCATCTATTCTTATAGATGTCTCTGATTGGTCGATTCCACCGATGTCACCATGTGGACTTCATCAAAAGTGAAAAGGTGCTCACTGCAGACTCAGAGCTTGACATAGTTCCAAGTTCCACCCACTGCAGCTCCCCCTCTCTGGACCACTACTACTAGTGTTTACTATAGTCCTTTTGCATTGACACATTATTTTCCTATTTGATACTGTAAAGCTGCTTTGGCACAATCTGTATTGTTAAAAGCGCTATATAAATAAAGGTGACGACTTGACTTGACTAGACTAATGAGTGGAACTTGAAGGTCCAACTACACCCTAAGGCCCTGTCCCAAATGGCACCCTTCATGTGCACTCGCAGTCTTGCGGCCTTACAGTGTTCAACTTGTTTGCCTGTCCGTTAAGTCCACAAGACCGTATGTGTCCCATTTGTCATTTTAGCTTTCAGAAGGGTGTTTGCGAACATCCCATTTGCACAAGATTAGTCATCATGGGTCATGCTCAAAAATATATCAGCCTATATGTCCATGTCAGATTATCTATCTGTCCTACATAGTTCGGTGGGCAGACTAGTCCACAAATAGCATACAGATTTCTAATAGGCAATTTGTTTGATTGTGCCATCACCTATTGACAGTCCCAAAATTCAGAAATGGTATTGTTCGATTACACAATTCGGAGAACAGACTCACATGTACTCGTGTCTCACTCAATATTATCAGTCAAAATCCCTTTTAACTGCTCAACCCACATAAAAATATGAAAAAACTTTTTCTAAAAATCTTGATCTTTAAGTTCCTTTAGCAACTGTCTATGCTGACCCCATCTCTCTTGAAATCCATTTTTGATCATCTCTTGTCTCACTTTAGTCTCATCTTTTAAACCTATTTCAGCCACCTGAGCAGTCAAGGATTCCGTAGGATTCCCTTTAAACTACGGTACTGTGTTGTGACAAACCCAAGAAAACTTCATTCACTAGATACAATACTCAGTAAATATAAAAATAATACTCAGTAAATTTAAATGTCCGTTTCACTGGATCACAATTTCAGATTTAGAAATTTGTCATGCAAGGTTGATTCTGTTATTGACTGTTGAGTCTCACCTGAGCACCTGAAAAGAATCTATAGGTTCGTTGTGACTGACTATATAGGTTTCAATGATAAATCGCAGATTCCTGTGCAACAAAGCGCCCTCAAAAAACGACTGCTACTAACTTATCCCTCTTGACTAATGAGACAAAAGCCCACAGATTATGAGATTCAAAACTCTATCGGTACTGTGTTGTGACAAACCCAAGAAAACTTCATTCACTAGATACAATACTCAGTAAATATAAAAATAATACTCAGTAAATTTAAATGTCCGTTTCACTGGATCACAATTTCAGATTTAGAAATTTGTCATGCAAGGTTGATTCTGTTATTGACTGTTGAGTCTCACCTGAGCACCTGAAAAGAATCTATAGGTTCGTTGTGACTGACTGTATAGGTTTCAATGATAAATCGCAGATTCCTGTGCAACAAAGCGCCCTCAAAAAACGACTGCTACTCACTTATCCCTCTTAATTGACTAATGAGACAAAAGCCCACAGATTATGAGATTCAAAACTCTATATTCAATTATAGATAATAGAATAAATATTCTCAAATTAGTAGATTATATCATACAAGAGAAACAAAAATAGGTGATCACTCACCTCACTGATTTAAGCCTTGCAGCATATCACCAAATCAATTCTTCTAAATATTTTTGGTGGAACTTGATATTTACTGATGCAGTAGTGCAGTCAGATGAGAAATTATGATATCAAAGATCAGTTTATTGTGATACAAATGTGAATGTTTTTTTTTTTTTATATTTATAATGATAACAACGAAAATGATACAAATTAATTGAGTATTAGAGTAACTGATAATGTATATACATATACATGAAAAGAAAAACTATAGGCCAGGATAGCAGCTCACTCTCATTAAATAAACATAAAACCCATTTATTTTTTTAAGTGTTTATATAAAAGTCACTGTCCCTTCAAAATCTCCTTGAATATCTGAAAATATAATTCCATAGTTGTGCGTTACTAATAAGCAAAGCATATTTCTAAATGAGGAGAAATGTTAAAAACAATTCCACACGCTGCAATGAACACATATATAGCTTGCTTTTCAGGTGGACACTCAAATAAACTGATATACTCAAGCTAACAATTTCCAGTATTCATTGATACATGACAATAATACATTTAAAATTAGATAAAACTTTGGCATAGACAACTTGTAAAAAAAACAAACAAAAAAATTTAAGTTGCAAAAGGAGTCAATTCACACTGCAGTCAACTGGATAACTACTTTACCTACCTACCTACCTAATGAAAATCCCTTTTCATACAAACATTCGACCCAGGCAGTCCAAGTTATTTTGATGTACAAAAATAGTTTCTCCCTACATTGATATTTGCATTTCCAGGAACGCTAAATATTTGGAGTGGATAACTAGTTAGAGATAAAATAAATTACTTACAGAATGCTAACTTAGAACTAATAAACCGGAGAAGATCACTAATTCAGTAGCCTGGTTAATTGGGAAAGTGCTTGTTACTGCTTTAAACATAGCTGCATTTTTCCTTTTGAACTGAACCACTGTTCTGAAGACAATTTGAGCTTGAATGAACACTGCACACTTTTATCGCTGTTAGCCCTCAGCGGATACAGCTCATCTTGTGTCAAATCAGTGGGAGCAGCTACTGTTTAAGGATTGGGTGGCCTGGAGTTGGAGTGTATATCGTCAGATGATTATGAACTGAGAAATAAGGCATGTGACTGATATGAGCATATCCTTTTTAGTGGGCTGTGGATGAATAATCTACACGTTCTGAACTTTCATGGCATCCTTGGGCCAGCTGTATGGATCCAGAGTGAAGGAGTCGTAGTCAGAGCTATAGACTTGGGATAAAACAAAGGCCTCTTTATCTTTGGGTTCAGGGTACCAGGAGGCAATGCCCTGTTTGTAGGCATGGTCCACAATCTGAAGAAAAAGAGGTGTTTGGGAAGAAAGAATGAAACATAGTGAGTGAACAGAGTACAGCGTGACAGATTTGCTACTGTTTACTATTAAAAACTTATGCAAAGTCAAAATTCATCCATTTGTGATAACTTTCGTTCATTTATGATAACTTTTATTGGTATTACAGGGAATATAATTTACAGTATGCCATGAAGTTTACAAATTTAATGACATCAAATCTTTGGTAGACATTCAGTAGTTTTTCTTGAAGCTGATTATTGTTGAGAGGAATTTCAAAAGAGATACATTGTTGCATGCTGGTGTATTATATATATATATATATATATAAAAAGCTAATTCAAACTATTAATAAGTACTATAATAGTACCTATTTTAAATAATATTATAATAACAATATATATAGAATGGGATCAATCCCTCCTTACCAATGACAGCTGTGGGCTTGATGGTTTCCACCACTTCCTCTAGTGTCTTTATGTGTGGATGCTCTTGGGCAAATTCTTCCTTCTCATGGTTCAGATGACTTCTGCCCTAATGGGCCAAATGACACAAAATAACAGTTTTGGTATAACGTTTAATTTTGGAGGTGTTCCAATGCAGAATATTGCTTTAATTTATGTTTTGACATTTGCATTAAGCCTACATACATTTGTATATTCAGATGTTGAGTAGGAGGACAAATATACCCTGTAGGAAAGAAATGCCAAAAAAGGCAAACTACTGTGGGTTTGATTGTTACCTTGACAATTAAGCCTTTAGAATCCACCATCCAAATCCTCTTGACAGCCTCAGCATGAGGTACACCTTCCTTGGCCATGGCCATTATCAGTAAGTGAGCAATTCCCAAGGCGGCCTGGTGACGTGACAAAAAAAATTACACATCTGAATCCTGGAACAACTGGTGTAAGCTTAAAAGTGTTTCGTAATGGATCTTTTATTTGCTATTTCTCAGTAGAAGTTTGTAGCATCTTTCAATTGAATTGACATTACCTCTCCTGCTCCCTGAAATACGAACTTGTGGTCAGAGAGTTTATTCTTTGTAATCTTAAGAGCAGCAAGGACCCCAGCAACAGCAACAGAAGCTGTGCCTGAAAAGGTGGGGAAAGAGATGAGCAAACAATTTTATGGCTCTAATACTATAATTTTCCATTATGAAGACTTAAAATCTTTATAGTTTGATATTACAGTGTGCATACTTACCCTGGATATCATCATTAAAGGTGCAATAACGATTGCGGTATTTATTGAGAATACGGAAGGCATTGCTGTTGGCAAAATCCTCAAACTGAATTAGACAATTCATCCCATACCTTAACCAAAAGATAAAAACGAAAAAAACTAAATAAAATGACGTTTGTACAGTCTAAGTATTTCCCACACATAACCTTCCCCTATAGTTATCTGTTAACTTGAGAACCACCAAACCAAATCATTAAGTCAGTTGAGCTGGTGAACCAGATCATTCAGAACAGATTTATTAACAGGATCAACTGATTCACTAAAAAGTGAATCTTAAAGGTACAACTTTTTCACTAAAAGGCTTAAAGGTACAACTTGAACAACAGAAGTTGTAAACAAATCATAAGGTTAAGTAAATCATAACTAAATCATAAGGGTAAGTAAATCATCTTTCATTTCAGAATTTTAGTTTCAAACATACTTGTCGGTGACAGCTTGCATGAACTCATCAATGAGGTCATCGTATTCTTTGCCCCTCACTCTTTTGTGCTTTAAGCCGATGTACAAGGGATCATCTAAGAGGGTCTGAACAAAAACAAATAAAAATGGGTTAAAAAAGGACAATAGGGTTACAAATAGGGACAACTATGTTTGTAAACCCAATGAAACCAATTAACAACAGAGTACAGTTGTACAGTATAAACATTATTATTCAAAAGTTTGGGGCCAATACTTTTATTTAGCACAGATGCATTAAATTGATCAAAAGTGACAGTAAAGACATTTATATTGTTATAAAAATAAAATTATTTTGTTATAAAAGTGTAATAATATTTCACAATATTACTGTTTCACTGTATTTTTGAGCAAATAAATGCAGCCTTTGAAAGGATAAGAGGCTTTCAAAAACAAAAATGTTTAAAATGTTTGTGCCAGTGGTTCTCAAACCTCTCCATGAAGTACCCCCAGCACTGCACATTTTGTATGTCTCTCTATATCAGACACACCCACTTCAGGGCTTGCAGTCTCCACTAATGAGCTGATGAGTTGAATCAGGTGTGATAGATGAGGGAGACATACAAAATGTGCAGGGCTGGGGGTACTCCAGGACAGGTTTGAGAACCACTGGTTTATGCTATTCTCATTTTACCCGATTATCAGTGCCCACATCCAGCAGCACAGGCAGGCACTGCTGAGGTGGCACTCCTCCACATGCTGTATACAGAGCTAGTTTGCCCACTGGGATCCCCATTCCATAGCTGCCCAGGTCTCCTAATCCCAGGATTCGTTCTCCATCCGTCACCACTATGGCCTATTAATGCACATACAATGAAACAACCATCTACTGGCACCGAATGACACTTTATCACTCTAAACAAACCTTAATGTCCTCCTCCGGCCATGAGTTCAGCATGGTGGCAATATGCCCCTTGTCATGGATAGTGATAAATAACCCTCTACAAGAAAAAAAAAAACAGTGAAAATCATATGGGCCTTATACTGTATGTTCACCATGCAGCTAAGAAAAACTGGTTGGACTAGTCTAAGTGTTTATAAAGCATTTGATTCAGAATAGATCTGGCTAAACAAGTCATTCCAGGTTCAGAGTATGTATATACCTCACCTTGGTCTTCTGAAAGCAAGGCCATACTGTTGGCAGGCCAGGCCCACAGTAGGAGTGTAGACGATAGGCATGAATTCTTCAATGTCAGAGGTTAACACACGATAGAAAAGCTTCTCATTTCTGTCCTGCAGTGTCATCAGCAATATGTATCTGCAGAGTCAGAATGTTTTTTTTTTGTTTTTTTTAGTATAAATAGGAAATGTATAATGTAAATACTAAATGTTTTTAGTATAAATAGGAAATAGGACCAAGAAAAGTATTGTCACTGTGCTTTTCATTGGCTATGATCATACAGAGTATGTACAGAATGTTTCAGATGAAGTTTGGTTACTTATCGAGAGGGTTACTGCGTGTCTCGTAGCTCTTCATAACACGAAGCACTTGGACATCCTGAGAGAGGAAACAGGGAGGCAGCAGGCCATGGATACCCAGCTGTAACCTCTCCTCCATGGTGAACGCCATCCCCTGTTAACACAGCACCAAAACTTCATTAACAACACGTGACAGCTGCAAATGGAAAAAAAAAAAAAAAAGTGCACTCCTCCTACAGTCTGGTTTAAATACAAATTACCACCCTGCAACTGGGTCTGCACCGGGCAACATTCCAGCTTAGGGTAGATGCATCACATGTTGGATCTATTTATTTCTGACCAATGGGAAGTAAGCATGGACACCCTCCCCTGTTGGATTCTCCGCTCACTGTTTACGTCTTAACAGCTTCCATCCATCATGGCTTTAAAGTTCTACACTTCTCAATCATGCCCAGTCCTCATCTTGGCCTGAAAGTCTTTGCAAACAGGATACAGATTGCAAAGAAACATTTAAATGGAAACATTTTCATGACCCAGCAAAAAGTGTTTAGCGAAACCCCTGTGTCATATCCTGCAACTCTGCATTGATTTTAAGAAGCCTAAGCATATTCAGAGCATCTCCTCTCAATGCTTGGTAGGGGCCAAAGTCTTTGCTTTTAGATTCAAGATCTCACAATGCCACTTTCATACTTTCTTATCTGTGGGGACTTTGGCATTACTAAACGTTATAAAATCACATCAACGCACCGGCTGCTGACAATCTAATAGCTGCTTAGTCACGTAGATCATAAGTGCATTGAGTTTGAACCATAAATATGCTTACTTTGTTCAAGTCGGGGTTCCTGGTGATGTCATAGCCTCGTTTTTTGGTGAACACCTTGCCCTTGGAGTTCACGCCTGAGTGACAGACCCTCACTGCCCCTACGATAGCAGGAGGGAGCGACAGGGGACTGGAGAAAACCCTGCACAGCGCCAGCACACTCTTACCCGAGAGAGAGTTCATGATTCCTGCAAAATAAGAACATTCAGGTTCAGAGAAGCTTCTTTTTGAAAGCTCACTATACTGGTATGCATGGCAAAATACCAGTTTATGCTGGTTTGTTGACTGGTTTCTAGTCAGTAGACCACCTTAGACCAGCAACAAACCAGATGGTCGAGCTGTTTTTTTTTTAAACTTGTCCAGCTAACTGTTACTGTACCAACTTAAGCAGGGATTTCCAACAATATGATTTTACAGTCACTGCAGTAAAACTGGCGCATAAACTGTGGTTATCATGATAATTGTTTTATTATAAAGAGGTGTCATGGTGCAACAAAGAAAAAAAAATACTAATACAGCTTTTGCAAGTTCAGCAAGTTCGTCCTCTCCAATTGTAAACAAGGCCTTTAGAACACAAAAAAACAACGCAAATGTATTATGTATTGTGATCTGTATTCGCTACGCATCTTTATTTTAACAACAGAATGTGTTTCAGGTCAAATGCACATTAGGGAGAGGTTTAGCATTGTCATTGTTCTGTAATTAGACATTTTTTTACAAGCAAAAACCGCGTAATTACCTGAGAACAGCTAATCCACCAGCAGCTTCTGCTTCACTAGGTTTAATCCAAACGCTGAGCTGCTGCCTGTCTCCACTGACTCGCGTTATCTGTAGATGATGTTGTAATCGACTGATAGAAACGATCCAGGTTTACATTGACACTTTAGCTTCCCCAACGCTCTCGATTTGGGCCCGCCCCTTTTGGGCAGAAGTGGCCAATAGAATGAGGCGATGCGAATGACGGCGTTTCAAACAAACGGAAGATTTTGGAGGCCTGTGACTCTGGCGCTTCCCAGTGTTTTTGTTTATTCAAACGTTTGCATTTAAAATATGAGTGATGAAAACAGATACTTAATCACGTATGTCGAACGAAATTACCGCTCTCGAATATGCTTTAGAAAGAAATTACATAATTATTTAATCCACAGACAAAAAGTACACGTTTTCTGCATTAAATCATTAAACATGCTGGAAAATGTAAGATCTCTAGTCTAAAAGACTGTAAAAAGTTGCTTTATTGCAGGCAGTGTTTACATAAATTCTCAGCACATGAGAAATACAAAGATTTTTTTGTTTCGGAAACTGTACCATTCATGTATCTTTTCATTATGAGTTAGAATGGTACAGCGCTGCTCTTTTGCAATGCAACTAATAACAATAGATATGTACTCATACTACATAACAGAGGTGGGACCAAGTCATTGTTTTGCAAGTCACAAGTAAGTCTCGAGTCTTTGCATTCAAGTCTCGAGTCAAGTCCCGAGTTAAGACAGACAAGTCCCGAGTCAAGACAGACAAGTCCCGAGTCAAGACAGGCAAGTCCAAGTCGAGTTGCAAGTCCTTTTTTAAGTTAGACGTCAACTTTCTTAGTATTCCTCAATCTATTAATTATAAACAATATAACAAGAAAAAACTAGTAAAATATAAAATGCCAGTTTTCTGATTAATTTTTTTTTAAAAGTGTATAGGGTCGCTAGAGGCCCGAGGTGTGTAAATGTGTAAGTCTTTTTTCCTGTGCGACTATATTTACATATCTTATGACTCAATATGTGCAATGCATCTTTTTTCCTCAAGGTGGCACTGTTTGATACACAATGATGATGTGA